GGCGTCAGGGGAGGAGAAAAACGGCCGGAAACCACAAGGCAGAGGGCCCCCGGCAGATCAGCAGCAGAGCCCACCCCCCCCCCCCGCTCTCCCGACACAGCAACAAGCAATCGCAGAGCTGCGACATCGAAAAGCGAAGATGCGTTTCAGGGCCTGCAGAAGCAAAATGGCCCTAATATGGTCCCGCTTCTTTCCCAGTGAAATAGTGGAACTCTACGGTCCTCTCTGTTCTCGAGCTGGGGTCAAAAATGGGCGGGGGGGCAGTAGGCCTCCGGAAACTAAGGGCTGATAGGAAAGGGCAGGGCCAGGAGTGGGGAAGGATGGGCCTGCTCCTTCCAATTCCCCCCCAACACAGCTCCAATCACCTTCACAAGTCAGGTGACCTCCTTAGTAACAGGTGACAAAGCCTGGCATGAAACTGCTGGGATAGAACCACAGAGAAGGAAATGCTGCTTTTCTCCCCATGCACTAGTGACACGGCTGGGTTGATGAGGGCAGCGTTGTGCCCACAGGAACCAGGGTGCCGCGAGCAGCGCCAGTGCCAGATTTTCTGCTCCACCCCCTATTTGCCTTTCCTGCACCACCCATATCGCCAGGCCACCCTTTCCATCCCCCTTCAGCCTCTTTCTCGGGTTCAGGCCCGCCTGGGAGCCATAGTTGGTTGACTCTGCTGACGTGCTTGGTTGACTCAGCGGCAGCCGGCTGGATTAATCTGCCACACTAACCCAGAGTGTAAGGCACTCTATGCTACCCAAGTTTCAGAGAGCCAAACAAAAACTTGAGATGAGACTTCTGTAACAATTTACAGATATTTATTGATCAATATGCATCTGGTTGGATCAGTCAACATCTTGGCAAGGAATGTTGAAAGAAACCACACCTTGCAAAGCAAACATCAGAGGTTTTATAGAAAGGTACAGGTGTAAAAAAATTCAAATCAGATAGTGCATCCTCTCCTGCCCATACAAGGGCTTTTTGGGATGGTTTGGGGGGGAGTAAAGGTGTGTCCTAATGAGGTGAGAATGGGTTCATCTTTCTTCTTCTTGTTACCAAGGAAACACCCCATGTCAGTCCTTTCTTATCTCTTTGTTCCTCTTTGAAATTCAGGGTCTCACTCTTGGCAACTTCTCTGCCTGGTACTAAGCTAATTTATGGTTTGTTTATTCAAAGACAGTCAGGTATCTAATCGGCTGGCTGCCTCAG